TGTGTGTGTGTGTGTGTGTGTGTGTGTGTGTGTGTGTGTGTGTGTGTACCCATGCAGACCCTGTCTGCACCCCTCAGGTCTCGGTCCAGTCCTATAAACAGACTTTTAACAAGCACTGGGTTGGGTAAAGTGGTGGTGATGCTGGAGATGGCGACTGTGCCCTCTCACAGCAGCCTGCAGGGGGCGCCATGGAGACTGCAGTAAACTGTTGCATCAGCCTGGAGACTGCGTGGGGCTCATTAAACCACAGATGGCTGTGCAAATAGGCTGGGTGTCTAAGGTACAGCCCTTCCCTGCAGAAAAAAACAATATTTTTCTTATCTTTTAAGATATATTTTATTTGCATGTGTGTGAATGCAGGTGCCCACAGAGGGCAGAAGAGGGCACCAGAACCCCTGAAGCTGGAGTTATAGGAGCCATCCATGATGGGTGCAGGGAACCACACTTGGATCCTCTGCACGAGCAGCAGAGCCATCTCTCCAGCCCTCCTTTTCTAAGAAAAAAAAAAAGAAAGGAAGGGGGGGGAATTACATTTTTAAAAAGACAGATGAAGAGGTAGCTTGACAGTAAAGGACAGGTTTATTTCAGAGAAAACTTGAGAAGGACCCCATGAGAGAAGGTGGGATGGTGGACCTCTCTCACGGCCTACATCCTTTATCAGAGCAGGGGAAGAGCCTGAGGCCCAGTTGGCCCATAGTGTTAAGGGTTAAGCTGACATGTGTAGGAATGGAGTTGAGGGTATTGACTTGGGAAACTGAAAGCTTTAGCCACTGGGAGGAGGAGCCTGTTCTGTCTGGAACGGACTCACAGGAGGGGAGGGGTCTGAGGTGGCATGTCCCCTACCCCAGTGGGAGAGCTTACAGACATGAGCCACTGCATTCAGTTTTCATATGGGTATTAGAAATCCAAACTCAGTCTTTGTGCTTGCACCATAAGTGCCGTCTCCCCAGCCCTTGGGAACCAGAAGAGAGGGTTGACTGGTAAGGATGAGGCTAGACATGTGATCATGACCTAGAAGAGGTTCACAGTAAGAAAAACATAGATGTAGTTTGGGCAACAACAAGATTAAAGTCAATCCTGAGACTTAACAAAGTTTAAAAGAGAGTTTAGCTGTTAGAAAAAAAAAATCACAAAAATGCACATACTTCCCATGAATTACCTCCCTCAGACAAGCCTCCAAGACTGTGGCTCTTCTCATGCCAACCATGGATAAGACCAAGGTACTTGCCCAAGGTCACTCACTCCCCAGTGCACATGAAGTTTGGAGTCAGACGATCTGCAAATGCCACTTTATCCCAGCATTGCGATCTCAGGGAGGCACGGGCCTGTTCAAGCTCTTCAACGTCCCCGTCAGCAAACGGAAAGGATGGCTTGTAACCCACAGGACTATGGTCCCCCAGTAAGACAATATGCATGCAAAGTCCCAGCCAGTACCAAGCTCACTGACAAACCTCCGCAAATACTAACAGGTTAGTGTCTGGTTGGAGTAAAAATCCAAGTGGGGTTTCTCCCTCCGGCTGGAGATTTGGCGCACTTGAATTTGCAGAAGTGGTTTGTGTGGCTGGCAAGGCACCACAGTAGTCCTTGTCAAAGGTACTGCTTATATGATTTGACACCCTAACCCCGAGCCCTGCCCGGGGAGATAACCCTCAGTTGTTGTCACACAAGCAAAGCTGGGTGTCCCTTTCTAGTATGCATAGCCAACCTAAATCACATCACTAGCCCACGGTTCAGTTCCCACCCCAATCCAAACAGGCTGCCTGCCTGGGGAAAGCCCCGATGTGTAGGAGGTTAAGTCACAGACTCAGAAAGCCAAGAGAAAAGTTCCAGGACACCCTGTGTAGAATTCGGCAAAGAGTTCGAAAAGGCATTTCCCCTGTCACTAATCATCGGAGAAATGCAAATAAGAGCTACAGTGAGTCACCGCTCCAAGACACTGGGGAGGCTGTGGTCAGGGACAATAGAGGAAGCAGAAAATAACAGCGTGGGGAGGGGAGGGGA